TGACTTTATTTTCGAGAAGCACTTCTGATTGTCTTGTAACTGTGTTTTGTTCCTTTGATGAGTATGGGCTTGTGTTTGGAGTCATAGCCTTGCGTTTTGTTCGTTTGATGAGTCATGTAACTGTGTTTTTATTGTTTGCTGGAGTCTCTTTCTATCTTGCAACTCGCTATGATTCTGGTTTATAAAATGATATATTTGTGTTTCTTGTAAACAAGTAAACATCTGGAATGTGCTTCTCGTCTTCTAAATTTATTTGTGGCTTAAAAATCACAACCTCATCTTGTTTGATGTCTCATGAACTGCAGATGGCAATATTGAGCATCTCAAGGAGAAGGAAGTTACTAGATGATTACAGCCTCATTGCCCTAGCTGACACCTCATGGGAGCTATTGGATATTTCGGGGTCTGCTGTCAGCAATGTTGGCTTGGAAAGGGTCCCAGGCATCTGTCCCAATCTGAAAGCTCTCGATATAAGGTTTGGAACAGGAAACCAGATCTCAGAATAATGAGACCTTTATTTCTTTTTATTTTGATAAATAAAATAATTTTTATAGATAACAGATAAAAACATGAAGAAAGAATAATGTTTACTGACAAAAAAATAAATGCAAAAATGAATTGCAAAGAGAAAATAAGCTTAGTGCTTATCATTTTAAGGAAATATTTTTTGGCCCAAATGGACTCATCAGAGTACAACACAGTACTCTAAAATGGGATCAAACCTGTTGGCTGGGATTTTGTCTCCATTACTAAGTTCCTCAGATCCACAACTGAGGAGGATGCTCTAAAGACCAACCATTCTGTTGTGTTAGCCACCCAAAGTCTTGGATCACATGATCAATGTGCTTTCTGGGTGCCCGGAAAAGGGGGAAACTGTAGGTATTCAATGTAACACTTCTAGACTAACCACCAGGAGGAGGATAGCCCTACACTCATGATCTATGAAAATAATTACTTGCCTCTGCCTTCAAAGCACCCTAACTACTTGGCTAACCAGTATAAGGGAACATGTTATCCCAAGTAATATAGAGTTACTGCTAGAAATCAGCAAACTGAGCAAAAGAGAAGGGGCTAAAATCAGTTATAAAAACCCAAAATCAAATTAGAAATAAAACCTTAAACCAACAGCAAACCAGCTAAACCAACCCCACCCCTCGCCCCGGCTCCCGCCCCCCCTCCCAAAAAAAATCCTAAACTAGAAAAATCAACAATAAAAGAGAAATGCCCTAAATTAAAAACACAAAATATTAATAGAGGTGAGAGAGAGAGAGAGCTTGGCAAGCGGCTCTTTTGGGGATTCATATTCCACCTTTTTTTGAGGAGGTGTGGTCTCATTTTTGGCCCCAAAATAAGGAGACGCTTCTCTCAGCGAGATGTATCTCTGTTGCATTTTTGTGAGCCAAACGTCTGAGATCGCTAATCATCTTGGAGAGGCATCTCCTGGTGCCCAAACAGACCCTTAGTTTCTTTAGTAAGGAGCTTTCTAAAGCACTCCAGAGCGATGAGAAATAAGTAGGGAAAGAGTGTGTTGTCTTGTCCTGTTCCATTCTTGCCTTTGGAAGCTCCAAATGTGTCATTGATGATAACAGAAAATCCAGGGGAGGTGAAACGCATTCGTATGCAATTGTTAAAGGTTTCTCCAAAGAAAGACATCAGTTTAGTTAATTGAAGGATTTTCAATTAACTAGGATTTTCAATTAACTTAGTCCTTTTGAAGATCTATCTTAAAACAAAACACATTCTCTAGTTGTTCATTGCACAGGCTGTGAACAATTTCATGGCCAACAATAGCTTGCTTGAATATGCCTCTGTTTTAGCGAAGGCATCTTGTATTGATTGATGATCAATTTAGCTTTTGCGCTGATATAACTAATTAGCAATGATTTTACAATCTTCTAAAGCAGATTACAAAGGTCTATCAGTTTAGAAGCAATCACAGAAATTGCACCTATTTTCTTTAGAATGAAGGTGATAAATGTTGATCTAAGAGATCTCATGACGGAGTTAAGATGGAGAGAGCTATGATGGATTGATGGTTAGCCATATTTCATCACTCATTATATGCCACGGTTTGTGGAAAAATTGGGTTGGGAACTATTTGAGTGGGGAGATTTATTTGTGCTGAGGTTCATGAGGGTAGAGGCAATCTCCTCATTGCTGACTTACCTCCCTAATTACAATTTTCTATTTAATTATTTTTGTGTCACTAGGTGTGGGAGGTGTGAAGGAAATTGGCTGAATGGTGCCTGGCGATTCCTCAAAAAACAAAAAAGTTAATTTCATTGATGATCTCTTGTTTTTGTGAAGTGATGGATCCATCTGAATCGTTTAAGTTTGGATATGGTTGTACTAGACTTGGGGGCCATGGTTCTGTAAAGGAGAGAACTTGGTGCAAGAATCGCCTTGCCAGTTTGTCCCTGAGGCAAGAATCCCCAAATGAAAGAGGAAATGAAGGTTGAGGATGCAAAGGGCTAGAATTCCATGAGATGGTGAGGCAAGTGTCGTGCTCCAAGGAATAAGTCGGCTTCGACTTGCTTCAATGTTGGAAGACCGGCCACATATGAAAAGAAAACTGAGTTCAAACCCACAATTTAATGATGACTAGGATGTCATAAAAATGGACAAAAGATGAAAAGAAAATTAGTAGGATTTATATTTCAATCATTATCATCAATTTCTTCATAATCATTGGCTTCATCCCTGTCTCCTCCATCCGATTCCAAACCATCATTAGAATCGTCATCTTCTTCAACATAATGGTCCTCCTCAGTTTCTTGTGAATCGGCCTCCTCTTCCTCACCTCTCTCTCCTCCTCCTTTGTGTACTAGTAGTGGTGGTCATTAGCCCTCCTATGGGTGGAAGCTGGTCCTAAACTTCCTCGACCATATCCCAGGTCAACCCTCACTAAGGATCTTCAACCAACCACTCTTTTGGCATCATCCAAGTCTTTGGATAAAATGGGATCTCTCTTTGGGATCTTAAAAATGCTCATCTATAGCATCAGATTATGCTTGACAAAGACTAAATTATTGAGCCTCTTTTTCTCAAGCTGGTTCCTGCTTTTGTGTGGAACTGTAGTAAAATATATGAGCCACAATTCGGACTTATAAAACTAAGATAATACCCTAATAATATGAATCTCTAAATCTATGATAGTCTTAAATTTTTACCATATCAAAGGAACTCCAAATTTAATATCTAAATTCATATGAAACTATGCAAAATTAATAAATACTAAGGAAATTACCTACATTTGATTTAGTCCTTGGTCTCACCACCATTTCCTTCACAAATGATTTCAAAGTACACTTATACAAAAGTAACTTGTTAGCATATATCTTATCTTGGATATCATTGTGTAGATCTAGCCTCTCAAGACATTCATTAACGGCAAAGCCTTCCATAATTGTATCCTTTTTCTCAATACCTAAGTTTGTGCAGAAGAACTTCAGGTTCAAAACCTCAAATAGTACAATTTCAGGTAATGACTGATGAAAAAGGGTCGGTTGGCTAATTATGCCACTCCTGCCCTTCGAAGTTGGGTGCTGTATGGCTATCAAGACATATGGCCGACACAATTTCTGGGCTGATGAAGCTGCCTATCCCATTTTGTAATCTATTATCTCCCATATTGAGCAATACGTACTCTCATCATTGACCAAAGCCTTTGCTACCTCCATCTAGTGCATCATATTTAGAGCCCATAATGGGCTTCACGTCACCATTAACCTATTTTTAAAATTCACTAAGGGTAGAAAGACTTTAACCGAGTAGATTACCCACTTGACAAACTCTTAAACACACTGTCACATGCCCTTTCCCCTTTAGCACATCTAGGCCACTTACATCTAGATAACTCTTCTAAAGTTAACATCAAACTCAATTGCTTTCTCTTCTGCAATATTCTTTGTAAACTTAGAAAAGAAGTGGCAAATCCGGTTACCCCAGCCCTTGCTATATCGCCCTTGTGGGTTTGGGGCACTCCTTTGTGAATTGTACCTCCTTATGTTATTGTTTGAAAAAACAGCCTGCCCAGTGCCTAGGAGGCTGTCTCGCCTAGGCTTGGGCAGGCCTTCCCGAGCGGAAGTTCTTAGGCGTCCGCCCTAGCAAGCTAGGTGGGTGCTTAGGAACATTCATAAAAACGGCATTTTTTTTTTGCATGTTTCGGGCCATTTTGGGTCATTTTGACCCATGAAAGGGGGTATTCTAACACCTTAAAGTAAAAAGAAAAAAGAAAAAAAAGAAAAGAAAGTCGTACCAGTGTTTCAAAGAGCGCTAGGTGGGTCCTAGGTGGCGTGGGAGGTCCAGGCCACCCAGTGCCTAGGCAAGCGCCTAGAACCTGGGCAGCCCAGTTGAATCCAAAAAGGATTCTACAGTTATATATTGTATAACATGTAAGAATTAGGTATTTGGGGCACATCAGAATTCAAAGTATAGTACACATTAGCACACACTCCATAAGCATAACCATAAGTCGGTCCATAATCCATATCCAATTAAAACTTAAAATTTACCATTCATGGTTCAATCAAAGTTTAATAATTATTCAACATTCATCATTCATCATCAGAAAAATTAGGGTCAGCTGCATTGGTATCATATTCATCGGAATTGTCATCCTCGTCGACATATTGGTCGTCCTCATCTGTCTCTTCTGAATCTGCCTTTTTTTCCTCCACCTTCATTCTCTATGCAGAAGATCTAGTGGCCCTAGGAAGGTCAGCTGATGTCCCTGAAGCATCTATAACCATGTCCCATGTCAATCCTTCATACCCCTCGACCTCATCATCATCAACTAACCGCTCTATAGCGTTGTCCATATTTTTTGATCTAATGGGGTCTCTCTTATCAAACATGTCCTTCAAGAATTGATTACGCTTGACATAGACTAGGTCATTAAACCTCTTTGATTCAAGCTTGTTCCTTCTCTTTGTATGAATCTAACAAAATCAAATGAAACTAATTAAAGTCTATGGTTCATGTATTATTAATACAATTATACAAATTACCTTTACGACCTTACCCCTTCAAAAGCACTCCAATTGCGCTGACAACCGGATGAGGAAGTGGTTAGGTTTAAGATCTGAATGATCAACGTTTATAAATTTGGAGAACTACACCCATGTTGGCTCCACCAATTGGCTGCAAAGATATAGAATAAAATCATAAATAAATAATAGAATTATAAAAATGAAACTTGATTACGTGAACTTGACGAGCTTAAGAATATTATTACCACTTGGATCAATTTTGGTCCTTTACCTCATTGCCATTGGACTCCCAAAAGACTTTAATGAGCACTTGTAATTTATCAGCTCATCAGCGCATATAATATCTTGGATATCAGGATCAAGGACTAGCACATCTACAGACTTATTAAATCCAATCATAATTGTGTCATTTGTGTGTATATCTTTGTCAACATAAAACAAAGCTGGGTTCAAATAATAACCAGCTGCATGCAATGGCCGATGTAGCTGCGTATCTCACTTCTCATCAATAATCTCCCAAACAGGGTTATAGCAGTTCTCATCATCATCAAAATTTTGAGCTCTCTTTCTTGTATTTCTCCATGGCCTCATATATATAGCCCATATAAGGCTTGTCACTATCAACCATGCGAAAGACTTTGACAAGAGGAAAAAATACCTCAAGAGCGGCCCTTCACCTCTCGCCAAAAAGCCTTAGAAAGGATAATATCTCTCACCTTTTTCCCAACTTGATCCTTGGACCACTTGCATGCTCTCCAGTCATCCGAGGTAAACATTTGCCTTAACTGCACTCTCCTCGAATATATGTTATCTAGGCATAAGTACCAGGTCGCAAATCTTGTGACCCCAGGCTTCACAATCTCTTTCTTCCTTGTAAATCTACGCATCATGCTGAGGGTGGGATGGTGGCCATAAATGAAATTTGTAATTGACTTTGCCTTCTTCACGGTACCTGATATCTCGGTTAAACCGCCAAGAGCCTCAAGCATGAGGTCTATATAATGTGTTGCACATATTGTCTAAAAGATTTTAGGATAAGCTATGCGCAACAAATTAGCTGCAACAACATTAGGAGCAACATTGTCTTGACAACCTGTACAACATGATGCTCCCCAACCTCCTTCATTCCCTTCCCTAAAACTTGGAATATGTAATGAGCATCATGGATATGATCAGAGGCATCAATAGACCTCAAAAAAACAGTCCCTAAAGGACAATTCATAAGCAAATTCATCTGACTTCTTCTCTTCTTATCACTCCAAGCATCAATCATAATAGATACCCCATATTGAGCCTATGCATCTTTCTTAACTTCTACAGCTTCCTTCGTGACACTCACCGCCTTTTTCAAAAGAGGCTCTGAAAGCTGGGGTTGGGGGTTTCATCCCAGGCCCAAATTGGCCAATTGTCTCTACTGCGGCATAGAAGTAGCTTAAGCGAGCGGTATTGAAAGGAATGCTCGCCTCATAAAATCATGTAGCAAGATAATAAGTAGCTCTCTCTCACTCGTCCTTTGTCATTCTATTTTCAATGGTGGTTTGCTTCTTTGTTTTCTCTCCTGCAACCTCAAGGTCAGACCAAGGCTAAAAACTATCCATAGGGCCCATAACCCGAGGCTTCTTACTCCCAAAACCAGAACCAGAAAAAATTACGACTCCCTTTCCCTTTCCACTAAATGATTGTTCGACTTCTACCTCTTGACATTCCTCCCCAATCCCATCCTCATCACTATCATCATCCTCATCATAATTGACCCAAGCCCCAGACCTAATCTCTGTTATGGAGGCAAATCTCTCATCTATTTTCATTTTTACCATATTAAAAAAATTGGTTATTTCTTCTTTAACAACATCAGCAGTCTTTTTACATGGGGCAACATCCCCCCTGATACTAGCAAGATGTTTCTTGAACCAGTTTATGCCCCCTTTTGTATCCTTCTCAAAAAAATTGCATCTTATACAATTTTTATCATTAGGATCTAAGTTGTAGCCATATTCCCAACCGGGATCGCCACTCCTATGAGATCCCGAAGAAGACATCTCAAAATAATGCAATTTATACAAGCAATAAAAAAAAATCACTTACTTTGAGTTTGATTGCTCAGTCTTCAAACTTCCACCTCAAAGATGCTTCTAAGGACTCAAAATCTTCTAAAAAACCCCCCAATAGATTTATAAAACATCAAAAATTAAGTCTAATATCAATGGGTGATGTTTTGATCAATTTGTCATAACTTTGAGGAACCCTTCGATCTCAAAGAAATCACGAAAGACTAGTTTTTTGGGGGCTTTCTCTCTCTTAAATGGGCTCCAATAAGTTTTAGGTTTCAAATGGACTTAAAACCCATAAAAAAAAATGGACAAAAAATACCCCCACCGAAAGCAATTTCCGCATCTGGGTGGGGCGCTGGACCTGGCCTCCGCCCAAGTCTGGAGCCTAGGCGGTCGCCTTGGCGGTTTTCTGGGCTCGTAGGCGGGCGCCCAAGGACCACCGCTTTTTTTGGGCACCTAGGCTTGGGTGATGTGCCCAGGCTCCCAGATCCGCCTAGGCGGCCGCCCACGCGTTGGGTGGTACGCTTTTTGGAACACTGAGCCGTACCATATCTTAATGTGACTTTTTTGGAAATACGATTTTTTTTGGATTTTGTTCGATTTTGCTATGTTTTGGGAATGCGAAATTTTGAAATATATTATTGCAATAAATTTTAAGGTCCAAATGAAGTTCTTACAAAGATCTTTGGGGTAATTCTGAGCTTGTTAGACAATCGAAAAATTGAGCATAAAACATCGAAAATATTGAATAATTAGAGATCTCTTTCTTTTCATTTGCATGCCATTTTTTTTACAGTATCATTTTGTATTGGTATTTGGTCTCATTGGACACTTGGAGTCCATAAGCATGATTGTTTGAAATATGGACTACTGAGTATGCTGCATGGACACTAAAGGACTAGTACATCATGTACTTGTTTTGTTTCTTCTTCTTTTTTTCACTTTTTTAATTATTTAAGCAAAAGTTTTAGTGATTTGAAAGTGTCAACATTCACACACAAATTTGCATAAAAAAGGTGGTTAGAATAGATATAAATGTATAAATACGCATAGGCATATATGTGCGTTTAGAAAGCACATATATGCATATATGTGCATGTTTCAAACCCTTGGGCACCTGAGGTTCTGGGTAGCTCACGTGGGTGCTGGGCACTCGAGACAACCCCCCCCCCCCCCCCTGCGGGGCGCCTAGGGACCGCCCAGTGTTTTTCTAAACCTTGCTTATGAAGCAATGGCTTCTTAAGCTTATAAGGATTGGGCCCTTCAACCTTGGTCCAAAATTGCTTCCAATATTGTATAAAAGCTACTTAAGTGAAATGCATTAAGGGCAATACCTGCCTAATAAACAACCCATCAATATAGTAAACTTCTGTCTTGAACCTATTTTTGATCGTAACTTGCTTTTTCTATTTCTCAACTGCATCGTTGGGATTGGGGGGCAAAGGCATCCATTGGCTCCTTCATACAAGGCTTCTTCATCTACAAGCCTCTCATTGAACTTTGAGAGGAACCCACTTTTATTTCCCCTCCGTCATCATCATCATCACTCCCATTGTCACCATAGATATTCACCCCTTCCCTCAACTCTACGATACTCTCCTCTTTTGCTTCCTTCTTCCCTTTTTCGGCATCCATATTCTCAAGACTCTCCTTCCTAACTTCTCTTAGGATCTCCTTACATGAGGCAATATCCCCCTTAGTACTAATGAAGTGTTATTTAAATTAATTACAACAAAAATTGCAATGGATTTTGTTGTCATTTTGTCCCGAGCAAAAACCATATTTCCATCTTGAATCTCCACTCCAATTAGAACCTGTTGTAGACTTTTGGAGAAATTAAGAAATATCAAATGCAGAGATAAGAACGAACCTTGTGCGATCTTCGATCTGCAATGTTTTGGATGAGTATGAACCTTTAAATCACCTTAAAATAACCCTTATTACTTTTTTGTGTTCCACAATGCTTCTAAAATTATTATAAGGTAATATTCAAAAGAAAAAAATTACTTAAGGGAGGTTGGAAACACACCTAAGCCTCATTTCTTCCCTTATTAAGGAGGAATTTTTGTGGAAATGCTGGACATTTTCTACCGTTGGGCAAGGGCAAAACCTAGGTGGACGCCCTGGTCTAGGCATTGGGAGCCCGCTTAGGCGACGTCCAATCTGCTTGGGGCGGCGCCAAGGCCTCCCAGGGGCACCCCACCTTGATAGATTGGCTGTTTTCTCTTTCCTTGGTTGATTGCTTCAAGAGATTTACGTTGGGGGTTTGAGATTCAGTCAAGGAAAATAAGTAAAGTTCTTAGAAGTGATGGGGGATACAAGTACACCCTTAACTATTTGGTAAGTCCAATGCGGATCAAGGGATAGGTTTCGCAAGAAACGATATCCTATGCTCAGCATCAGATGGTATCGCAAAAGGAAGGAATTTTTCCCTAAAATGGTATCGCAAAAGGAAGGAATTTTTCCCTAATTTACAAGGGAGTTCCATGATGGCAGAAACACATATCGTATTGACCTTTTGTTTGGGAGATGCTTTGTTGACTGTTATGTACATTTTTACTAGAATTCCTTCAAAACCTGTGCCTAAAACCTCTTATGAGTTGTGGACCAGTAGAAAACTTGGTCTATCACATCCCATATGACTAGTAATCTAGATTAAAGGTCCATGGAATGTCCTTTCATATGATATGTTACTTCAAAGGTATATCCTAATCTATGATTTTGAAATGGGTGGAATCTCATGATGTGAACTTCATTTTGTCGAAGTACTTAAGCACTGAGAGGTCGGTGGGATCTTAAATAGGGAATGGTGAAGCGATTCCTCTACTAAAGGGCTATAGTGTGAGTATTCCTATAGTCGTCAAGAATAGCGGGAATGAACCACCATTCATTCTCAAGCATCAAAGGAGTGCAAGTGACAGAGTTCCCCATAGACATTTTGAGATTGAAGGGGAATGCCTGACATGTATCTCCATTAATGAGGATGAATCAGGTCTATATCAGGAAAGCGTTGCAATTCTTTGTTGTAGCCAATTGGATTGCCACAATGTCC